AAACCCAGTAGGTGAAAGGGCCAATGTAGTACAGAGTGTACCTCCAAATAACCGGCATGAGTTCTACAGGTTGCAGGATGCCGTTGAAGAATTCACAAACAACAATGAAGAAGGGCATCACGCTAGCCGCCATGACTGCGTCAGCACTGTTTCGATGGTTAGCTGTATTCAAAAGCGAACAAGAGGGAGACAGGTGACATGCCTTAATGCTGCGATCCATTGCCCCCAGGATGTGCTAAAGAGATGAAACATCATCATCATGAGAAATGTGTAGCCAGCTGGCGCCCCAAGTGGAAGGCCGATAAGGAAATAGAATAAGACGTAAAACAAGACTGCGCCAGCAAAGGCATAAGGAATTTCAGAGACCACTTGGGCAGTAGTGAATGCCACCCAGCCATAAATTCGGCTTGGGTGCTCTCTTCCAAGCCAAATATTCCTGTTCTCATCAAACATTACCGCACAGGCATTGATGAATTCCGGAACGATCATCAAGACAAGGAAGCAAGTAAAAACTCGGTACTGAAGATCAGAAACAGTGTTGCCTAATTGCAAGAAAGCGAGTCCATTAAGGAACGCATGGAAGAACGAGCAGTAGAGGCGTGAATAGACGTAATCTGGAGTTCGCCAGTATTGTAGCATGGTTCTCTTCGTTAGGAGAATGATCTGGGAGAGCGTCGAAGAGGCGTAGTTCCGGACCGGCTCTAGCTTACTTTCCTCGCATCGGGTTTGAGGCTTTGAGATAATGTTGTCGATTTTCTCTAGCACGGCGGCTGCCTCAGGAGACTCGTCCCAGATATCGCACCAATTATCTCCTGAAGAAGAGGTCGAGTTTCTGGCTGTCACCTCAATGAGTAGATCAGCAATATTCTTGTCGGGTTCTACCCCAACCCTCCTATTCGTGAAATAATCGACCACAGTCTTGCCATGAGGGCCAATATCTCCGAAATAATAGACGCGCCCCCCGTGATTGAGGGCAAGAACACGGTCAAACTAAAGACGAGAAGAGTGAGAAAGTCTTCCATAAAATTATTTATGACTGACGAAGCCGCGCTTACAAGTTCAAATTGTTCTTGATTCGCTTGGTGGATGGTGCAAATGATGGCTTGGCCATGATCAGCCAGTCGTCGTAGAAGCCTAACAATGTTCATGGCCCCTTGCCCATCCAATCCCTATTTGACACTCATTAGCTTTTTTAACAACTTCCTGTTGCAGACTGGACTCACACTCGTAGGTTCGTCCAAAAATAGTAGCATGCTCGGCTTCGCGCAGAGTTCGACGCCGATGGTTGTGCGCTTTTTCTGCTCGAGGGATAGAGATCGAATGATGACATCTTGGAGGTCCTTCATCTGCAGAATTTCCAAGATCTCATCTACGTATTCCAATTTTTCCTTCTTGCTTGTGCTGCTAGATTGTCTCAAAAGAGCAGAAAACTCAAAGGCTTCTCGGACGGTGCTGGTTTCAACATGAATGTCCATCTGCTGGCAGTAGCCAATAGACCGGCCAAAAGATGATCCAACATTCTTGTTATTGATCTTCATGTGACCTTCCAATCTCCCTGTTGCTTGCTGTGTCAAGACAGTCATTACTATGTGCGGGGTTAGTGTCGAAGCGTGATGATGAGGGCAATCTATAATCACTTACAAGTACTCTTACCAGCACCGGAGGCACCAACCAGCGCAGTCAGCTTCCCAGGCTCACAAAATCCAGAGACATCATTGAGTAGCTGTTTGTCCCCATCCTTGTGCGGGACAGTGTAATTCAAATTGCGCCATGTGAACACAGATTGGGATTTAACCAATCCACCCTCACCAGTTTTATCACTCTTGGCTTTCTCAGCCAGTGACTCAACCCTGACTGGTGTTTCGTTTTGGCTGGTGCTTTCCTCGTCCTTCTGTGTAGCAGAGTTGTTTGATGCTGGTGTTCCATGGGCGAATTCATGTGCACCTCCCCCGCCTACAGCCCAGTCGATTTTCTCAACCACCCACATGTTAATCGCCACAAAAGCGACCATAAAGAGAATCAGAATTCCAAAATCTCGCCCGACATTATCGAAGCTGAATCCAAACTTATTGAGAATATAGGTATCACCCTGTAAACTCATCTCGCTTGGGGACATGCTTTCATAACTGCAAGTTTGGAAGGCAAGGTCGTTATAGCCTTCCCCAGAAGGTATAATAGAAGTCGAAGCACAAGTGAACTCTCGACTGTGGAACTCGACTGCCATGATGATTTCAAAGGCGTATAGAACTGGGGTTGTGTACTAGCGAAGGATCAGTAAAGGTTGACGGACAGTACCAGAACCGAAAACTTACGGATAACCAGCCAACCCATGGTACATCTGAAATCAGACGGTCGACGGATCTCATATAACCGCCGAACACCATAGCAACCAGAAGCAGAATACCGCAATACCTGAGAGAGATCTCGAGGCGAGGAGAAGCGGCACCGAGAAGCCGGTATAGCGATATATACGCCATCGCACAAAAGAAAATGGCGAAGCCAAAGGCGAAAAACGGACCGGCCTGAAATGGTACGTAGAGCGCACAATTAGTTACAATTCTACAACTCGTCGTTGAGATAAATGCAATTAATAAAGACTGATGATCAGCACTTACCTCTGATCTCATCCCGCTCATAAAGTAGGCAATAATAGAGAAAGCAAACGACTGGAATGAGACGGTTCCGAAGTCCAGCAACGTCTTCCCCAGCACGACTGCGCTCGGTCTCACCATGGCATATCTCCGTTGACGGCTAACCACAGCACGGTCAAAGAACGCAGTTTCCAGCTCTGCCATTTGGAACCAGGCTACTGTAGCTGCGCAATAGAAGGAGAACCCGCCGCGAGAATAAACACCCCGGGTGTCAAGAGGCATTTGGTAGAACATGGAGCCGAGAAGCCAGGCACAGAAGAAAATGCACATGAACCTAGTCAAAAACGGTATCTTGTCTCCCATGAGCTGCCAATATTCGCGCTTCGTGCATAATACCGCTTGGCGAATAAATGATGTGTTGTAAGATGAGCGAGGAGACACGAATCTTGATTTCTGTTTATCACCGTAGTGCTTGAATGCCGCGACCGCAGTTGTAGTGCTGTGATTGCTGCCATTTGCAGAAGAAACAGAATGTTCGTATTCCGTGATTTCGTTTTGAACATTGTGGAAAGCCTTGCTGGATCGAAAAGCTTGTTCGAGATTGACTGCTCCTCGAGGGACGCTCAATTCTTTGTTATCTTGTATGTTTTCTTGATTTCCCGCGGCAACATTTGCCAAGAAATCACTCATTGTTTGACGTGGAAGACGGCGATAGCCAAGAGCCGCGAAATAGCCTTCTGCCTCTTTGGCAGGGCCTTGATAAAGCATCCGCCCCTGGTCGATGAGCAAGATCTTGTCCATGAGATCATAAATGGCATCCGAAGCTTGATAAATCGATACAATCGTCGCTCGATCGCATGTGTCCGTCATGATTCTCAGTGAACGTATGTAATCAAGAGCCGATGATGCATCCAGTCCCCGAGTAGAGCCGTCCCAACAGTTGACTGATGAGTCCGATGCCAGAGATTCCAAGATGGAAACCCGCTTTCTCTCGCCGCCAGACACGCCCCTGACGAATTCATTTCCAACCAAAGTGTTCATGACGTGAGTCATACCAAACACTCGACCAAACTCGTCGAGAAAGCGAGGCACTTCAGGCAATAGCTTCTTGGGTGTCTTATTCTTCAAAGCGAATTCCAGCGTTTGTCGGACAGTTAGAGTGGGCAGATGTACATCATCCTCCGGTACATACGCAACGGCACCCCTATAGTACTTTGATACTTCCTCGAGAGAAAGGCCCGAGTAGTCAATGGACCCCTTGACCCCCAAAAAGGAGTCATGCTCACCGCCGATGGTGCGTAAGAACGTGCTGCATCCGGAGCCTGGGTTACCCAAAACACTGTCAAAAAAAGTCTCGCTGTTAGCAGAATAAAATGGCAAAGAAGCTAAGGAGCTGGATTGTAGGTACTCACAGCATCATCTGGCCATTTCGAACAACACCAGAGAAATCTCGGATCAGGGCTTGGCCATTTTCGACTCGATCGGGAGATATCAATCGCTTAAAGGTAGCTTCGTAGATATCTTGTAAAGTCAGAGTCCTCCAAATTGCATCCTTGAGGGTTTTGACACGTTTTGGGCCACCCTGCCTTCCATAGGTAGTGATTGATTTGAAGCATACGCTGAGCGGCACGGGCTGGGGCTTCTTCGCCTGAGTTTCAGCATCCTCCTGTGCACGGCGCAAGTACTTTTCAAAGTCTTCAAATGCCGGCGACGTAGACGGGTCTGTCTCCGGAAGTTTAGATTGCTTCGAAATGGCCCGATGCAGTTCAGTGACGGTGTCCTCAGCCTCTGCCGTTACGAAGACATGCTGGTCCAGGTCGTGCTCGGTGGGGTGGGAACCATCGCGCGGCTCGTTCCGCTGATGCAACAAGTAGGAAGGCATGAGCACAAGAACACTGGACTCGTAACTTTCCAGATAGTCTCAAAACGAAGCACATCCAACTCAAGCCCCAAATATCCACCGTCATAGGCTAACTTGCCATCGAGAATGGGCCTTCAGCACCTCATATATACTCCCGTCTTGCATCTTCACCAAGTGGGGCCTTGTCACTTATTATCAGAATTAGGAAAGTGGGTCTGGCCGGTTAAATGCCGGATATAACCTCATTTAGGAAATACGTCGACAGAGCCTTCAACGGTCACGTGGAACCCCGTCACTTCTCCCACTCGCTCACTCATTATTAATCAATTCGCACGTATATCCGGTCTCCACTAGACAAAGAGAGCCGATGATTCAGCCCTGGATGTCCGCGGGCTCCTTGCCAAGCCCTCAGAGCAAACTTCTTTCAATGTTACTTTGACCCCACCTATCACGACAAAAGGCTTATCAATACTTGATCTGCCTATGTTATCGATCCAGGGCTGATCGCACCCGCGGCCATCGGTGGAGCCCGTTGCCTACGAAGGGCAATGTCCAGGTGTTGGACTTGCAGGCGTCGTCGTCTCAAGTGCGATGGGGAGGTTCCTAGCTGCCGTAAATGCCTAGACAATGGAGTGGCATGTCTGGGATATGTCAAGCCCCTAACTTGGGTCGACGGCGTGTCTGTTCGAGGCCCAATGAAGAACCGAACCTTTGGCGGACAACAGACACCAGCCGAGGCAAAATATACGTCGCCAGAAGTGGATTCCCGGTCATTACGACACCAGCAACCTTCTGTTGCATGCCGTGTTGCGTCTTCCTCAGATCTTCTAGCACAGTCCGATGATGGGTTCGCATGTTCGGGGACCGATTCGTCCCGTTCGTCACCCCTGGGATCACCAGATGCTTTCTCATCTTCCCACCTTACATCATTGAGGCGTCGGCATAACTATTCTAGAAATCGTTACTCTCCACCACCCATGATAGCGCTGACTGAGCCCCTTTTTCAAGACCTTGATCTTGCTTCGAGATTCTTCATTGATTATTGTACGTACAGCTTCTTCTACAAGTTCGACACGCTTTGCCTTGTGTTTTGAGCTGACTGAGTTCCTCAAGTTTCACGACGTGTTTGCCCGCTCCTAGTCTGGCGAGATACTATTGACAACAAATATCGTGGAATCATCCCTCTCATTACATCGTCCCCCGCTGTAGCAAGCGCAATCCTCGCGGTTGCATCTTGTCACTTTACTCATGGTATAATGGGCATCCCTATACTTAGTTTACGGTCTGAAACAGCCACTGCTGCAACACTTGGGGGAGAGGTACCTGTGTTGCTATCCAACCCAGCCGATGTTCATCTCTCCAAATCCACCCTTGTTAATCACTATCTACGATCTAAAACAAACTGTCTTAAGCATCTTGCAGCCGCGTTGGAAGATGAGTCCAAAAGCCAGTGTCACTCTACGCTGGTTACTATTGTGCTCCTTACCATTCTTGAAGCTTGTGAGAGTGGCGCCGGGTCATGGACTATCCATCTCGAGGGTGCAAAGCGACTGTTGACGGATAGAGCGAGGACCCAAAGCCAGCCTTGGCATATTGATTCACCAGGCGTAGTTAATGATGTATCTGTGTGAGTCTGTCGGATTTTACCCCGGGCTATGAACCATACTAACGAAGTTTCATCGTCCCTAGATTTCAAACTTTCGGGTCCTCGATCACCCGACCAGGGCTATTATCGTCGTCCTTCTCCACGCATATCATACAGTCTATGCGCCATGATAACCTCGGTGTATCACTGGTTGGTTGTCCTAGTAGCATACAATCAGCAGTTGAGTTCTTCTCTTCTCAACGACGGCTTGATACAGGGGAGACGGAACCACCCATTGATGTGATGGGTCTCAGTGAATCATTGCGTCAAATTCGAGGATTTGATGTTGATGCTTGGGCTGCCGCCGTCCGCCTGGACAATGTGGACAAAGACACGCTGGTGGACCTGCAACATATAGGCACGATCTGGAAGCTCTGTGCCGAGATATATGCAAGTCGAATTTTTGCCAATGTCACCAGAGACTCGGCTATGCCGATGCCTTCTGTCGATGACCTCGTTGCGGAATACCCGTTTCCCGAGCTTGAAGATGTCGACCTGATAAAGTGTGTGACGTGGCCGACCTTCATCGCTGGCGCGGCCTGCTCCAAGCCTGAGCATAGAGAGTGGGCGCTCAGGGCATTCGAAAGGATCTGGCAAGTTTCGCTGTCTGCGAACGCCAAGAGTGCGGCTTTGGTTCTCATGAACTTGTGGAAGAAACAAGATATGAGAAATGCACAGCTCTCCAACGAGTTACTGGTTCGTATGGAAATTCAACAGGGAGAGGAAAGAGACTGGCTAAGCGAGCTTTCATCACTGGAGGATGCATGGCTATTCCTCTAATTCTCTGTGACCAGTCCTCGTTTCAGGCAAAAAAGATGAGAAGATCAGCCAAATGGGGGATACCGTAGATCAAGACAGGCTGCGACATGATAGTTCAACTACCTACCTAACACACAAGAATCTAAATGTAATATTCTATGCGCTATTAGAAACCTTTTTCGGTATATCAGACTATCTGAACAACCCTCTCTGCATCAAACCGGGGAGCCTGAGAAAAGTAATAGCCCCTTTGATTGGTGTATATCCTCAATGGCCCAGCGTGATTTCCTCTATCTACCATGAAGTCACAATTATAATGGGTGTGCCCAAAAGCCCACAACCGCACCCGAGGACTCTTGAAGCACGCCTCTCCTGACAGATCAGTGGAGAAAGCGCCCGAGATAGGGCTGTTGACGTGTCTTGGGTCCAGGGCGCGAGTGTCGACGGAGGGGCTCCAGTGTGATAAGATCAGAATCCTGGCCTCACTCGCATCGTACTCGGCGACCTTTTCGTTGAGCCATGCAAGATCTCGCTCGTGCGCAGCGTTATGCATAGTGGTATCCCAATCAGTCGTGCGATAAAAGTCGTTGAGGCCAAAGCTGATGTCATTCTCGCTCTCGGGTGGGATAAACGAGAATAAGCTGCAGCCTAGAATGACCACATCGCTATCCGGGACCTTATATGCACGGCGGTCGAGCAGAACGAACTCGCCCAACGAGTCGTCTTTCTGGATGGTGCGTTCGAAGTCGCCGAGGACTGTGAGTGCATCTGGCCAACACGTCTGGAAAGCCTCGTGGTTTCCGGGGACTAGGAGGACGGCTCGGAACTGCCTTAGCTGGCGAGTGATCCATTCCAGGAACTCATTTTGGTCGGATCCCACATTCCCAATATCGCCAAGCAAGGCCAAATATGGTGCCTTGGGTACAATCTCAAAGATGTCGTACGACCGGGGGGTTTCCAGGTGGAGGTCAGACAGTATTTGGATTTCCATTGCCTGAGCGCGTGAGAGCTTCTCTGCTCTGTTTTTATGTGAAAAATAATGAATCTCGATTCATCGACAGACGACTGGATGACGGCATTTGTTTGGACAGTTGATGACTAAAGAGAAACGGGTTCGGAGCCTACCCTAAACAGTAATGCAACATACGTTAACTGCAACCCATGAAGCAGATTGGAGCATAAAATCAAGCGATTAAAAGAGAAATCAAGAGTTTCATGCGTTTGTGTAGAATATTAACGCACCTGAAGGGTGGCTATACACCATACGTTGATAGTGCAACCCAAACATCTGATGATTCTATCGCGGTTATTTGACATCGATTTGCGTCAGTCTGCAGAGTTAGAGTTACCAAATGGCACAATTAGTCATCAATATATGCATAAATCTATACATATTTTGTGTAGGTAGCACTATGCCTGCATAATTAGCACATCGTTTGTTCTGGCTACCAAGCAGAGAGCATGTACATGGCGGTGATTACATGGATAATTTCATGAATGGAGAATAAACCAAACTTAAAAATCAACAAAGATTCATTCAGATGCGTCGCCTTCAAAAGTCAACCTTTCCATGATTTACCACCTTGTAACGTAAGTTTATTTATTGTGTTGAGATGTCGGGTCTGGCATCTTTCATTGCGGTTTTCAAGTTTATACTCGCACCTAGTCTTCCACTTCTACAACAAGGCACAAAGCAACACTGAATATAATCGGCAATGTAAATCTATTATTGCTTATTCTAAGGACTGTCTATGTACTGCCGTGTACAAATTGGGGTATTACAGGATAATAGGCATCGAGTGGTATCAATCTAGGTAGGTAAGGTATGTAGGATTGTGTGCCAGGAAGCCGCAACCGAATAGGGAATCTCCAAAGGTATTATGATATTTAAGAGGCGAAGTGAGGGGCGTTGATGAACAGACCCATGAGGCAGCCGGCAAGGGTTCCGGCAATGGGGATGGTCAGGATCCAACCGGTCACGAGGAGACCGATTCGCTGCCAGTTGATGGCGCGCCAGGTTCCGTTGCACAGACCGACACCAACGGTGGCACCGGTGATGCACATGGAGGTGGAGACGGGGAGACTGAACTGGGAGGCGAGGAGGACGGTGATGGCGGCACCCATCTCCATGGAGCAACCACGAGAAGGAGAGTGGTAGGTAAGCTTGTTACCCATGACTGTCAAGGTTGTTAGCAATCTGATTACAAAAAATTAGTGTCTTTGGAAACTCACCCTTCATGATGTTGTAACCGTAGGTAATGAAACCGATGGAGAGAGTGAGACCGAGGACAGCGAGCTGCCAGATGGGAACGGGAGTCTTATCCGCAGTCTTCTCCTGAGACCAGGCGTAGTACATAGCAGCCCAGGGACCTGGATATGGATTAGTGATTGGACTTGTCTTCAGAGAATGTGTTTCACATACCGACGGAGTTACCGATATCGTTAGCACCATGAGCGAAAGAGGCAGTGCAAGCGGTAAGAACCTGAATGAAGGAGTAGCTGTATTCGACCTCGTTGGAGTACTGCTTGGCGTGGCTGTAGACACGAGCCATACGGGCACCCTCAGGGGTTCCGAGAACACCAGACTGAGCACCGTGAATGTCGTAGTTAATACCGTAGAGAGCAGCGACAACAATCATGGCAGGAACGCGGACGAAAATCCTCTTGACGTTGTGGATTTCGTACAGAGAGCCGGCACCCATGGGGTTCTCACGGAGAGTGCGGAGAGCCCAGCCAAGAGGTCCACCCTTCTTGATGATCCTGTCGTGCATCTGGCGCGTCTTGGCGGCGACCATCTCCTTGTACTCCTCCTGGGTAGCCTCGAGGTGGACAAGGGCGTGCTCGTTGTCGAGCTCGGGGGCGGCGGTCTTGGTGGTGGTGTTCTTCTCCTTGGTGACATCGTGCTCGTCAGTGCCGTTGGAAGAAGCAACCTCGTCCTCTTCCTCCTGGACGACGGCAAAGTTGGGTACAACAGCGGCGTCACCAGCCTGGCCGGCACGGGTGAAGTTGAGGGGACCCATGAAGACGTGGTACCAGCGGAGAGTCTGGTCCTTCTTGATGACGAGGGCGTGGATGTAGGGAACGAAGAAGATGGCAGACAGAAGGCAGACGCCGGCACCGGTGCCGACGACAACGGCGGCGATCCACCATCCGGGCTGCTTGTTCAGGTTGAACTGAGGAGAACCCTTGTAGACAATCGAAAGGGTGCAAATGGAAGAGGCGAGGAGGAACCAGAAGGGGGAGGTGTAGACAGCCCAGGGAGTAGGGTTCTTGCGCATGTGGACAACGAGCTTGATAAGCATGAAGATGGTGGCAGCGAAGCCAGCAGAGATAACAGGGGCCATGCCGAGACCAGCGAAGACGGCGCCGAGACCCTTGCCGTTGTTCCAACCCCACTGGACCTTGGAGGCACCAACGGTAGCAACACCGACACCAGCGACGGCGGAGATGATGGAGTAACTGGAGGAGACGTGGGTGGAGTGGGCAGTGCACCACATAACCCAGGAAGAGGCGGCGGCGATGGCGCAGGCGAAAGCCAGCATCTGAACACCGGGATTGGACTGGAAGGCAGTCGCGGGGATGATACCGTCCTTGATGGTCGAGGCGGTACGGGCACCGGTAGCAATGGCACCAGCCAACTCACAGCAAGTGGCTAGTACCATGGCCCATCGGTATGAGATCGAACGGGAGGAGACACTGGTGGCCCAGGAGTTGGCAACATCGTCTAGTATACAAGGTTAGTAAGTTGTCATTGGAGGAAGATGCTGATCTTGGAGATGTTGAGAGATGTGATGACATACTGGCACCGTTGTTGAAGGCATCAAGCATGGCAAACACGGTGCCGATGCCGAAGATGTAATCGTACTGAGAGAGAACCATGTTGGCGGTTGCTTCTTGTTAGGTGTTTTCGAAAGAACGTGAGGTGACACCCTTGCGAATCTGATCGCTGGCTTACTGGGCTTGAGGTGAGCTGCAGAAACAAACACGAGACGCGACGGAAACCAGGAGAGGCATCTCAGTCTTAAATACAGAACACCAAATAGAAGGATGGAAGGATGGAAGGTTATGTCCAGTCTATTTTGAGCCGGATAAGACGGCAGCACGGCGAACTGCGTGAGGATGGGCTGTTGTGGCCAACTAACGATGCTGGAGTTGGAGACGGGGTTGCCGTATCGGGGGAGATTCGAGGTAGTGCTCAAATGGCCGGCTTTGATTTGCTACTGCGGACGTGGTTCTCATCTCATTCTACCTATGTTTCTCGGCTCTGGCTTGCCGTGATGCATGTGTAGTCTCGGGGTGTGTGGGGGGGAGGCCATCAGGAGCGGGCCCATGGAAGGAAACCCAGCTTCTGGAATATGGGTCAAATGCACGTAAAGACTGGAATCAACTCGTTTTTATGCTTATTGGGTCCCAATGCAAAGAATTAAGCTTGGTGAGCGAGCGAAGAGCTATAATCTAAGCTCAGGAGACTTGACTGGCACTGCAGAGACATGGAGAGAGAACATGGGGGTCTTGATTCAAGGCACGACACTGTGACGTTGATCCGCATTATGATTAGCAACGTGCATACGGCCAAGGCATGACGGCTCCTACTGCACGGGGTAACGGGCCATAGTAGGTACGTGGCTTGGAAGGCGACTTTTTTCCCAGACGGACCTGTTACTATTGAAAGTCACCCGTCTGCCACCTGCTTCTTGGCCCGGGCAGAGCAAGGCGATTTGCCCAGAATCAGCCTAGAACGACCCATCGCTAACGAGCACGTTGGCAGATATTGGCTCTAGACGGAGGAGGCCTCGTGCTCTCCTTCCTACCTACACCAAGATCTCTTGGCAAGCGGCCGTCAAAGTGGCTAAGGGACGCCTCATCGTATGCCCGATATTCCCGCCGCGGGTCCGGAGGCTCCAGCGAGCCAGTTCGAGACGTCTCATTGCCCGATTGATGGAGGGACTAGGGGTCTTGACTAGCCCCCGGTTTCCCATCGATCGTACATCCCCACCCACGTGCTTAAATCTATGGTTAAC